AAAAAATCAGGCCATTTAAATTTTCATGACATAGCAACAGTACACTTTTCTCAGGTTCGGATGTAGTAGGCATGTTAGTAAGCACATTAAGTAAGCACCTAATAGCTGTGTGACACCTTTCCCAGCTAATTCGCCTTTCATCTTAGGGGATGTTTGGAACTGTGGTCATTTTTTAGAAAAAACGGTGCCACGTCGGATCCACATAGCTGTTTCAACAAACGCCCATTTATCTCATTGTTTGGTTCAGCCGATTATTAAAAAATCGGGCATGTTGGGACCCATCGATGCATGCATCAGTGAACCATTTCCCCCAATGGTTGTTGATGTGTATCCTATATGGTGCTTAACAATCAGCACATACATGAAAAAAAGTGATGAAAAAACGATGCTTACCAAACAACATAGTGTTGCTCACTGCTTACGTGGCAGAAGTGTTTTTTATGAAAAACACATGGGCATTTTTTCTTGAAAATCCCACAAGTGCCCACGCTTCCAAACACCATGTTAATGTTTTTGTTCTGTTAGGAGTTTTCTATTGTTTTATTATTTGTGTCAAAATAATTAAGAATAAAAAAATCATTAAAAAGAAAACTTGTCCCATTTAATGCGCCTTTCTCTCCACCCTTCTGCCGTTTAGGGTTCTCCCACCTCTGGACCTTCAGTCGTTGCAACTGGTTGGTTGGGGCAGGCACTCAACTTGGTTGGGTAGAGTGGATTCAATTAGTTTCATTGTGTTTTTTAAGGACCCTTAGAATAAATATCACATATAATTCTATTAATTACAATCTTTTTTCATCCTCTACTTTAGAAGTTCTGAAACTAATTTTTACTCTATTGTTTTCAGTGTATAAATTATAAAATTTTAAAACATAAAGAAGTTTCCTACACATGGAGAGCTTTAGTAGTAATATATATAAACTAGTAGAGGGGCCATGCTTCGTAGGGTCTGGAATGCAATTGTCTACCAGTTGATCCGGTCTCTGGCCAAAAACCATTGAATCGGTCAACGATTCATTGACCCAAGTGGTCGAACCATCAACCCGTTGATCCATTCAATGGTTTTTGGTTGTTTTTTATTTTTTTAATTGGGAACCATCTAGGCAACTGATTCTGTTTTATCCTAATCTTGGTCCCTAGCCAAAAACCGTTGAATCGATTAACGACCCATTAACCTAAGCGGTTGAATCATTGACCCGTTCAATAGTTTTTGGTCGTTCTTTTTTATTTTTTTAATTTTTGTTGTGAGAATGGGCCATCCGTTCGAGTCGAACAATCGAATTGTCAACCCAAAAACCAGTGGCCAGAACGGTTTCGTTTTTAGGTCGTTTGAGTTACACGCTCGAATGACATAACACGTATGGTACTACTTAATGGAATCATCCAAGCAACTTGTTCCATTTTACCCCAATCCCAGTTTGTGGCAAAAAACCATTGAATTGGTCAACAACCCATTGACCCGAGTGGTTGAACCGTCAATCATTGACCCATTCAATGGTTTTTGGCTACTTTTTTATTTTCTAAGTTTTTGTTGTCAGAACGGGTTGTTTGTTTGAATTGGACAGTTGAACCGTCGATCCAAAAACCAGTGGCAAGAACAGTTCCATTTTTGAGTTGTATGAGTCACACAGTCGAATGACATAACATCATAGTTTTTAAAACCAACCCGGAGATCGAACCAATTAGGGGTCTAGTTATCGGGCCAAACGACCGTTCTAGCCAAACAGTTGACCCATTCTTGCAAAAAAAATTAAAAAATAAAAAAAAATAAAAACATTCAAAACCATTGGAACGGTTCGATACCCATTTATTAACAATATTTATAATAATTATTATATATTTATATAATTAGATAATTAATTCTAACAAAAAAGACATGAATCAATTTTCTAGAGATATGCATAAACTATTTTGACGAATTGATGTTTTGGTTAATTGAGAAAGACATACAAAAAAAGATAAATATTTATTATGACAAAAAAGACATAATCGATTTTCTAGGAATATGCATTAACTATTCTGATGAATTGAATATAAGTGTTTCTATTTACAAATTTATGATAATCAATGTAGTTCTCCTGCCCTTCTAATCAGTGAGTTCAATGAGAGAGAAACCCTCTTTATAATTGAAACTTAAATGGCATAAGGTTGGAGATCGAGAGTCCAATGAGTTTCAAGCATTTCCAACTTCCAACACATTTAGGTTTTCCTTTTCTATGATTTTTTCAGTTTTAATTATTTTGACACAAATAAATAAAACAATAGTTAATGCACCTTTCTTCTAAACGTTTTTGTTCTGTTAGGAATTATTTATTATTTTATTATTTGTGTCAAAATAATTAAAAATACAAAAAACAATAAAAAAGGAAAACCTGTCCCACTTAATGCGCCTTTCTCTCCAACCTTCTTCCATTTTGGGTTCTCCCACCTCTTGACCTTCAATTGCCCAAACATCGATGAAGACTCTGGTTTTAGCTGGGATATGGTAGCCATTAACATTGATAGCTCTAATGGACTCTCTTGGAATAAAAAAGGAAGCAGGAGGATGTAATCTTAGAGTCTCTTTGGTAACAGCTTTTAAATAAGCCATTTGAGGAATGTCATCTTCTTCAAACTTGGATTTCTTACCCACAACACGTCTAACTTCTTCTTGGGCTTTTCTCATCACTTTGGGATTCCTGATGAGCTCGGTCATGCTCCATTCCACGGTAATGGCCGTCATATCACTTCCACCAATAAACATGTCCTGTGAATAAGTAGTGGGAATATGATATATAAGATATATATATGAGCAAATTAGTTAAGAAATATATTATTTGGAGTGCAAAAGCCAAAATGAGTACAAAATTGCATTTGTAGGTCGACGCATGGATCAACTTCGATATGATATCCGAGAAAGCCAGCAATTGTAATGTCATTTAAAGGAGGCCTAAACTGAGAAGATCAAAAAGTGTTCTTAATTAATATTTGGTAGTTCAGAAACAGAAATGAATATTACCAAAATGATGGCTTTGATGTTGTCTCTAGTGATGGGGATATCAGCGTTGAATCCTTCTGAGCTTGGAGCAAAATATGCAGAAAGTCTTCTCCCTCCCTCTGGTCCTTACTTCTTTGGTCATCAGTAGTACTAACATGATCTCTGATCACTTGATCCAGGAGTTTATCCAACTCTTGAGATGTCCTCTTTAGCCTCCATCCAATCCGGTAACTGTATCGATGCATCCTATGGGAAGAAATCCTGAACACTAAACATTCCCAAAAGTGACATTACCTCCCTTGTCAAAGGCCCGATCCTTCTGCTATTTTCATCTTCTTCTTCAAACTTGCTACTGAAAGCAGCTCTAGAAATCAAGTTATCGGATAGAAAGGTAAGTAACTCGCTTAGATAAATTGAGTTGTGCAACTGACATGCGTGAGATATCTTCTTGATCAAAAGAGCAACCTCTTCTTCCCTTATAAATCTGAATGACTGCACTCTCTTGACGCTCAAGAGGCGGAGAACAGACATCTTCTTCATCTGTCTCTAGTACTTGCCGTAAGGTGCAAACCCCAAGTCATTACAGCCATAGAGAAGCTTCTTTGCAGCAGTTGTAGAAGGCCTAGTTGCGAAGTTAGTATCTTGGGTCTTAGTGATCTCTATAGACATCTCTAAGGAGGAAACGACGAATAGAGGGACACTGCCCAAATGCAATAGCATGAGCGGCCCATACTTTTGAGACAGGGCCCTGAGAGAGCGGTGGGGAAGCGTGCCAAGTTGGTGAAAATTTCCGATGACTAGAATCCTCGTTGGAGACGGTGGCAGCTTGATTGAACATCCCCGGAGTCTGAATAGGAAGACAAAAGAGAAGAGGAGAAGTGGGAGTGAACAAGGCAACAGAATTCCTTGTTGCTCGGCCATCGGATGTTCCAAGCGGCAGGGGTTGGCAGGGTGCAGGTCAACTGCTCGGCCACTGGAATGCCCCAACCAACCAGTTGCAGCGGCTGAAGGTCAGAGGTAAGAGAACCCAAAACGGCAGAAAGTTGGAGAGAGGCGCATTAACTGTGACAGGTTTTATTTTTTTATTTTTTATTTTATTTTTAATTATTTTAACACAAATAATAAAATAATAGATATTCCCAAGGGAACAAAAACGTCTAAAAAAAGGCGCGGTGTTACACTGCTATCAGTGCTTACCTAACGTGCCTACTACAACCGGACCACCCGGATCCCAAAACACCTCACTCACTACGTCCCCACCTCTTTCAGCACATTTCGTCCATGTTTTTCTATCGTCGAACTCCATTGATGCAAGATGAACCTCTATCCATTTATACTCGACACGAACTGCAATCCAGAGCTTTTAACGCTTCTAATTCTGATTCACATATGAGAAGGAAACGATCACCAGCTATAGCTGCCTTACCAGCTTTGAACATCCGAGCAAAGGGGGCGAAATCCCTGAAACTCTCCTTCTAGACACCTGCGAAGACTGCCTTCTCTCTCTCTAACACCTACCCCTCCCACGCAGAACCGCAACCTGCTATTGAGTTTCGAAGTTTCGAATTGTCGCCCTCTCCCTCTTTTGAGAAACCCAACATCGTCATGTGTTTGCAAAGTTTTAGATCTAAGTGAAGCGATTATCCCATTATCCCACGATTACATGTTTAGAATAATGTTCGTTCTACTAGAAATAAAACCATCCGAAGCCTGCTGAAGGTACATAAGCATGCATCACAGTTGAGCCTTCCATAAAAAAGAAAGAAATTAAAATTGTAATCGTAGACAACAAAGTCTTAAGATACAACAAGCCACATCAATTTATTAAAAGAAGTCACACTGGGAAAAGAAAATCCACTCCAAAATGACAACAAAACATATATAGTAGTTGTAATTTGACTTATTGCTGACAGAATAGAAGCACACTGAATATCAAATCGAGAGGAAACGCAAAATCCAGTCCGATGACCTCGACTTCTTTTGGAAAGAAGGAAAGCTTTCTTTGGATGGTGGATAGCAAGCCTCGTCATCCATACACGGTTTGACGTGGTTTTGTTTTCTTATGGAGTTTCAGCCATATTGGAAGGAGTATTATCTCCTGAGTGAGTATAATACTTATCCACAAATCTGAATCATAGAAATACTTGGGAATGAAAGGTAAGCATATTGGAAACAAAGCTACGACAGAAGTAATGATGATGGCAAACCAAAGTTCCGTGAACAAAACCACATAGAAATGAGCAGCAAAAGCCATCCCCAACGCCAGAAACGAAAGCCAAACAAAGATGGTGGCAACTAAAGCAACCCTAGTAGATATTTGCTTATCGGAAAATATCACCCAAACCAGCAAATATACGGCATTAATGGAGCTGCATATAGCCAGAGCATCAAATATAACAAATGCTTTGAACATGAATTTTCTTACTAAAGTTGCTGTTCCTTTCCCTGCACCATCAGTTTCATATCCTCCTGTCAAAGTCAGAGCTGCAGAAAAGGCAATAGAAGCAATAAGTGTTGATACCACTATAAGGGTATTAATATGTTTCTTGTAGTAGGTTTCGCTTTTTGTTCTTTCTCCCTTTGTAGTATCGGGTTTGGCATATCTGGTGGTGATCACTTCTGGTTGATTCCCCAAATATTTACAATAATATTTGAGTATATATGAGATTATAAGCTGCATAACGGAAATTTTCTCTAAATCAGCCTAAAGTCCGACAATATTTGTATTTCTGCATGTTTTCCAACTCTGAGAATTCAAAGCGCAACTATTTAATGAGAAGGTCATACCTTTTGAAACATAGCATCTCCTTCCATGTCTAGCTCGGCAATGTTCAGAGCTGTAAGGTTTTCGTTGTTCATCACTGTGAAGTCCACTGCAGGCACCTTTGAAAGGGTCCACGCAATCCTAACATGGCAGTTGATGGTGGCCAAATGTAGAGGTGTATTCCCCTCCTTATCCACCTGGTTTATAAAACCCGTGTGATAGCGCTCACAAAAGTATTGAACAACTTCAGTCTGTTTTTCCAGTACAGCAACATGAAGAACATTTCGGCCACTATAGTCATCAACCAAATCAATGCAATCTGGGCAATATTCAAGGAGCGTTTCAATGATCTCCACCAGCCCAACAATGGCTGCTTTATGAAGAGGTGAGTGTCCTTTATTATCCAAGTCATATGCAATGGAAGTGTCTCTTTGTAATAATAGTTGCACCGTTTCGAGATCACCGAATAAGACGGCATAATGAAGAGAATTCATATTAGTTTCGTCTTGTTTCTTGATGAGTTCCGGCATTCTGTCCAGTATTGTTCTTATAATACCTAAAATTTGAAGCAAAGCAAATGAACCATGATAAATGCACGGCCGAATGGAGAACTGAATTGAATGAATAATTAAAAAAACCTCTATTTTTTTCTTGGTATCAGAGCAGGTTCATTTTTTCCTTTTTTTTCACCTTTTTTTCTCATACACACCGAATTGTATGAATAATTAAAAAAACCTATTTCAACCCAGTTGTTAGTGGTTTCTGGAGAGAAGGGGTGTTTTGTGAAGTCTACAAGGAATGGCTGAGTTTTCTTTGTTTCTCCCAGCTTCCAGGTGTGGCGCAGGTTACAGGTACGGTTGCATAGAGGTTAGCTCATAACACAGTTTTTGTTCTGTCTTTATTTGTTGTTATTCGAAGTTGGTTGAAGTCATTTTTGAAGTATTTAAGAAGATGAACTCATCATACTTTGAAAATAAGCATGTTGTTGAATCTGGACAAGTTTCGTAAGCCTCTGTAGACTTTCTACTAGCTGCGACCACAGTCTAGCTGGATGGAACTAATTATCTAGCTTGGTCACAATCAGTAAAGATTCACATTTGTAGTAGAGGCAAATGGGGTTTTATCTTTGAGAGCAAAAAGGCTCATCCGGAAGATGATCCATCATATGAAAAGTAGATGCAAGAAAATTATACTCTTATTGGATGGCTTGTGAACTCTATGCAACCACAGATTAGCCAATGCTATTTGTGGATGAATTCAGCAAAGGAAATTTGGGATAGTGTTAATGAAACCTATTCCCAAAAATTAAATGTGGCCTCAGTTTACAAATTGAGAAGTGATGTGAAGAATTTGAGACAGGGGGAAAAACCATTAGCTATATACTTCTCAACACTGAAGTCTTTATGGCAAGACATAGATTTGATAAAAGCTGTAGCGTGGGACACAACTAATGATGCTGAGACCTATAGGGAACTTGTTGAGAGAAACAGGGTGTTTGAGTTCTTGACAAGGCTAAACCCAGAGTATGACATTACAAAGCAAAATATTTTATCCAATGATAGTGTCTCACTGTCTCAAGCACATGCCTTGGTAAGTAGTGAAGAAAGCAGAAGACTTGTCCAGGTCCAAGGGGCTAGTCTAAATGATCACTTTGCTTATATGGGAGTGAAACCCAAAGGGGTTGCAGGGAATCCAAGTAGCTCAAGGAAGAAAGAGATTATATGTGAGTACTGACCAAAACACACTGAAGACAAGTGTTGGAAATTGCATCTTGAGCTCCTACCACTTTGATTTCAGAAGTTTGACAATATAAAGGCAAGGAGTGCCAATATTGTTGCTGATCCAGATTGTGACAGATAACAAACTGAAGAGATGACGGCTAGTGAGCAGCAGCTATGAAGGCAGAATATGAGAAGTTTGGGAAGATGATCAGTCACCTAGAGGGTGTGACCTCTTCTTCCAACCCTCTAGGAAATTCAACATCTTCTGTATTTGCTCATTCAGGTATACATGCTTCTACCAATCATGCAACCATTTCAGGTAATCGTAGGATCCCTTGAATTATTGATTTTGGTGCTTTTGATCATATGACCAACTTTTCTACTTTGTTTGTTTCATATGATTTACTTCCTGGACGTAACAAAATCACCCTAACCGATGACTCTCTTGCCCCTATCTTCAGCAAGGGAACCATCAAGGCTATAGACTCCTTGGTTCTTCCTTCTTCTCTTCATGTATGCAGATTAAATACAAACTTGTTATCTGTAAGTAGCCTAATTAAGTCATTAACCCAAAATAATATTTAGGTTTAACACGGACCATCTTCGTCCAATTGGAAATATTATAAGGCTTTTTTCACTTTGATTTTTCTTAACAAAGCCGGTGTATATATGATATTGTGGTCCTTTCTTAATACAATCTTATTCATCTTATAAATGGAGAAAGCAATTGAGATGTATGTAGAATCTGACGCACAATTATTCATTATTGTTAGACACATAGGAAGAGAAACATATTTAAATAAGACCACTCTAATTTTTTTTTAAATATAACTACTTAAAATTGAATCATTCCAAGACATTTATTCTGGAAGCCATTGTGCCAAATACCTAGTAAAAATTAAGGTGTTCAGTAGTGTGTAAATATCGTGGATGAGACCATTTTGGTCTAATCCATGGTAAGATATAGTGTTCTATTATGTGTGAATAGTTTCCATCCACAAAATAGCATGAACAGGGATGGGACACACCCCAATTTATCTTTCACAGCATTTTTCATGGATAGTCCACACTATGGTGTAGATAGTTTATAGAAAGGTTTTAGTGTTATGCACTTGTATTACATTGGTCCAATTATTCTCATTTTATTTAATCTTTTAATAAATTTTTAATTTTTAATTTTTAATATTTTATCAATAAAATAATAAATTTTAATGTTAATTCTAGCACATGTCCAATGGTCTGTTTCTCAACTCTTTTTTCATTATTTAAATATTAATTTTTAATATTTTTATCAATAAAATCATATTTAAAATATTAATTTTTATTTTTTAGTTATTATTTAAAATAATATTTTTTAATTATTCAAAAATGCAATTGTTGTCTACATATTGATGCTTTTTTCAATTTATTTATCATATAAAATGCAAGTATTAAACATTTATGATTAATTTTGTAATTCTCCAATAAAATGTATATGAAATATATGAAATCAAAAAGTATGGTCTACACCACACCTAGAGAACGCCACTAATGTGGTGTAGACCACCAATTTCCCATTCACACTATATAACATCCCCTAAACTTTCAAATATTTACCTGAATGCCTGCCCATAACAGCGGCGTGCAGAGCTGTGTGTCCATTAGGTCCACCATGATTAGGAGATGGAGCAGTTAATCTTCCCAACGCATAACCAACTACGCTTTGCAATCCTTGCCGTGAAGCCAGATACAATAGAGACTCGCCCTTCCTATTAGCCGACCATACTCCAGAATCCGCCCGTTCTAGCCACTCCATAAGGTGAACACCACGCTGTTGTTTGTTCTCATTTGTTGTATTGGGTGCATTAATTGAACCTCTTTCTGGGTCCTCGTTGTTTTGGACGATTTGAGGAGTTCTTAGCTCAGCTCTATTGATGTGACCATTAATTGAATCTCTTTCAGGATCTTCACTGTTTTGGACGATTTGAGGAGTTCTTAGCTCAGCTCTATTGATGTGATCATTAATTGAATCTCTTTCAGGATCTTCACTGTTTTGGACGATTTGAGGAGTTCTTAGCTCAGCTCTTTTCAAGTGCCTGTTAATCAAGATTCTTCCAGGATCTTCATTGTTTTGGACAACGTGAGGAATTCTTACCTCAGTTCTATTAAAGTGTCCAGCTCTCGTCGCAATATGTAGTGGAGTGTCCCCATYGGAATTTCTCATGGATAACAAAGATTGGCATCTCTGGTATAGTCTTAAGGCGAAATCCATTCTTCCGAAACTCATGGCAATGTGGAGGGCTGTGTTCCCCGAGGGAGTTGCTTGAACCCAGTTGAAATTGGAGTCGGTGCTGTCGAAGAATGTGATATTCCCCTCTTTTGCTGCGTTTGCCAATTTAGGATTCATGGATTCTCTATTTGTGTATGCTGGTCAAGGTCCTCGAGGAGTATGGCTCGCTAAAAGTCTAGTGGAAGATTTTCTGGCTTTGGTAAACTGAAGACCTCAGCTCCTCCGCTCCGCCACGGTCGGATGGACGAATCTGTATCGATCTGCCCTCGGGACTCTTTTACAAAGAACTGCTGGACGCTATGCACTCCAGATGTCAAATCATTCAACGCCTTAATAACATCTGCACCTTTCTACTGCACTGCCTACACTCTCTACAGATAACGTAATAAATTTAATTTTTAGTGATCGGTGAAAAAATATGAACCGATTTAGTGATAGGTGGAAATTAAAATCGGTTCATTTTGAAAATTTACACCAATTAGGAGAAGACGATCTACAGAGGAAGAGGGAAGTAGGGGAAGAAGAAGAAGAAAAAAGAGGAGGAGAAGAGAGAGAGCACAAACAACTGCTCCTCTCCGGCTGATTACAGTGGAGTTCTGCCTTGTTGGGTTCAGATCTTCCTTTAGAGGTAGGTTGCAACTGCTCCTCTATCTGGCTCTCCCTTCGGAGGTGGGTTCAGATTTGCCTTCGGAGGTTGGTTGCAACTGCTCCTCTCCAGCTCTCCCTTCGAAGGTGAGTTCAGATCTACTGCTGCAACCAGTTGCAGCGGGGTGACGAAAAGAGAGAAAAAGGTAGGGGGGGGGGGGGAAGAAGAGAGAGATGTATTTATTATATTGATTATCCATGTAAATGAAAGTCAAAATAAATCATGTTTACCAAAAATCGACTCCGGTGAAAAACAATGAAGAACGGCGGTAGTGTCCGGTGAAGAATGGTCTGGAATTTCAGAGAATGAACGGCCAAATAGTCTCCGGTGAAGAAAGTTTTGGATTGTCAAATAGTGAAAAATGGTCTGATTTATCAGAGAATGAACCGAATAATAGTCTCGACTGAAGAACGGCATAAACAATTGTTAGAGTTTGTGTTAGAGTGTTCTGTAGAAAAAGAAATAGGAATTCTACGTGGTTGTTCGGTTAAGGGCAAAGAGAAAACATTCCCTCCATTTTTGAAAAAAAAAATGATAGATACCTCCCTTCAAAACACAATTGCTGACTTGCATTTATCAAGTACATCACGTTGCCTCATGTGATGAAACACCACATCCAAGAGCTATTAACAACACCACTTGACAAAAGTCAATAGATACCCCATTAGAGTGGCAACAGCCGGCAATGTTATTCTTTAGTGTTGGCAGCACTATTAAAATTCCTATTGATATAAACAATGTCTAAGTCTAGAATATCATAGAAAACATTTAATTTAGCAAGAACACAAAGAAAACCAAGTGACGTAGCGTGATCCGGTCACTCCTAGCTGGCGGGGGCTTCGCTCCTAGCTGGCAACAGGGCACCTGAGAAGAAACGAAGAAGATGAAGGATTCCCGGGGGGCTTGCCCGACAGGAATACTCCGATGCTTAAGTTAGAACTAAGAGAGGGAGAGAGAACTGAAAGCAAGAAGGAATTGCAGAGAGAGCTAAGAGTGAAGGTGCGCTAATTCGCAATTACCTTTGCCTCTTGCGGGTCGGGGCCCTTTTATGCTGAAAACCTGTCAAATCAGGCGTAACCGCCTCTGTCAAATCAGGTGTAACTGCATCTGTCTCTCTGTCAAATCAGGTGCAACCGTTACTGCCAGAGCAGAGGTGGTGGGCGCAGGTAGCCGTTGCAGAGTACGGCCCTGCCAGGCGTGAGACATCTTTTTGTATCGACAATCGCGTCGCCGCCTGACGAGAGATGTGGGTGCAGTCTGCAGATTTGGTGGATCCGGTTGTCAGGTAGGAAATCCTTCAGTAATTCGCTAAGTTACTCTTATCCCGAGCTAGTTTGTACCGACCTACCCTTTACCGAGCTACTCTTTACCGAGATACTGGTATTATACCGAGGTTCCTCTACCCGAGGTGGGGACCTTGAGCTCGGCTTAACTCTGGGAATGAACTTGTCCCGGGGTTCCCTTAGCTCGGGACGCCCCTGATTTTGGAGGACCTCAGTTCTAAGTGTTTGCTCGGGAAGGACTGGAGCTCGGAGCTCAGGGCACTCAGAGGAGTGTCTTGTAGTCGAGCTACCACGCTGGACCTTAGCGGAGTTTTCATACCGAAGTGTCACTTATGCCAAGTCATGTCCATGTATCCCCTTATCATGAGGTCGGGTCAAATCACCCTCCATCAATTGCCCCCCACTCCCCGTGCTAGGGGTCTTGACCCAGTGCGAGGAGTTCACGGCGTGACGGGTGGATTTGGCTCGAGGTTCAGGTCGCCAAGTTAGATGGCTCGCCGGTCTGGAACAGTTCGCTCCCCGGCTCAATCGAAGACAACCCGGGTCGCATACAGTTCACGTGCGGACTTCACGCGATTTATAGACTCTGTGGATGCCAAAAAATGCGCTAAACTGATTTCACCTCGAGGGTCGTGCAACCAGTTTTCTTGAGAGCCGTTGGAACGTCTCGATCTTGACTGTTGATTTCCAAACATAGTGGTTATAAATAGGGGGGACCCCCGTCATTTTCTCCGCCATAAGTTGACAAACTCTCTCCTGGAGGTCGCGGCAAAGCTCTCTTAGCTCGGGTTTTCTGGTCAGCCAATCTTCCTAGCTCGGTCTTCCTTCCTTAATGAGTTTCCTTAGCTTCTCCTTCAGTTCGTTTCTAGTCCTTTACTTTCGTTGTTAGCCTCTAGTTTGATTAGTCCGTTTAGTTCGTACCTATGTCAGACCAAAGCTTCAACTCCTTGGACGAGCCCGAGGTGGGTACCTCGGCTTACATAAGCGTCCTCGAGGCGCACTCCACTTATGAGGTGCGGGAGACCTCGGGCAACCCAGCGTCTGCCTCCAGCAGAGTCAAAATGCCAGACCAGTTTGGTCCCTCTATCATGATGGTAGACAAGCTTAGCGGCTTAATAGATCGATACTACCTCCCCAAGGAGTACTCCTACAACCTCCCAGCGGGCAACTTTCTCTGGGAACATGGTCACAATGAGATCATGATCTTCACGGAGCAGCTCATAGTCGGGCTCTGTCTTCCTCTTCACCCCTTAATCGTTGAAGTATTGAACCACTTCGACTTAACCATAGACCAACTCCATCCGAACTCCATTCGGAATGTGGTCGGGACCATCTCCCTCTGTTCCGACTATGCCCTTCCACTTGACCTTGATATTTTTTCTGCGATCTTGTCCATCAACAAGAACGCATCTAGCGTTCTCCTCGAGCACAGGCGGACTTATTACTTGTCCCCCGCCCTGGGTACAAGCTGCTACATAACCTCCCTAGCAAAATCCCGGCCTGGAAATGGGACTACTTCATAGTTCAGAGCCCCGAGGGATGGCCCTTCCCTACTCATTGGAGGGTGGCCATTCAAAACTTTGGCATTTACGCTGGACAAGGATACAAGGGAGATACTCCAATCGCAGGCGGAGCTCGGCTTCGACTACAAGGACTTCATTGCCGAGAAGAAGCTCATTGAGGTTTGTTTGAGTCCCGGTAGGTTGCCTTGCCTTAGAGTTAACATCTTTTGTAGTTCATACTTTCTTGATGACATTACTGATGCCGAACTCTGTTGCAGGTCCTATGGAGCATCTTAGTGCCGAGAAGCTGTTCGGCAAGATGAAGAAGAGGCAAAAGCAAGCTAACAAGAGAGCCCGCATCGAATCTCCCCCGGCTCTTACCCCAGAGCCCGTGCAGCCCACCCAAGCTCCTCTAGTGATTGTCTTGGAGAAGT